CTCTCACTCACTCTCTCACTCTCACTCACTCTCTCACTCTCACTCACGCTCTCACGCTCACACTCACACACTCTCACACTCACACACACTCTCACACTCACACACACTCACACACACTCACACACTCACACACTCACTCACTCACTCACTCGCTCGCTCGCTCGCTCACTCACTCACTCACCCAGCACCGCCACCGTCCCACGATCCCCACCTTCATCACCACCATCACCTCTCTGGACCCCAATGCGTCTAGATCTCTAGACTTTATGCTTATAGACCTCACACACTGTTTGGGGTCTCTTGCCGGGATAATACTTAAACATAATTCGATGTTTTAGATTTATGTTATTACCCATATTAATAATGAATAAGTGTTATTAAATGTTTTATTTAAACATACGTAAACAATATTGATTACCAGAATATAACAATAGGTCCAATAAACAATAATACACATTATTGCAGTAATAGTTTCGATTAGTTGTGCCGTTTGCAATATTCCAATGGATCGAATGCCTCCTCAATTTTGTTTATTTATATTTTCTTTCCAATTTTTGAATCGGAGCGTTTAGTCTCTGTACAGGACCATGTCATATGACAGCTTTGGTCGTGTTGAGCATACCCCTACTGATGAATTCAAGGAGCACGGCAAGCTAGTGAGCTCCGTGATTCATGTATGATTTCTTCATTCCTTTAAGAAGATTGTCATGCTTTCAAGCAGGAAAATTGTGATGTTTTGATGACCCTCTAGATAAGGTGACACAGCAGCGACCTTGCTAACACTGGAAAAAGACTGTGTTTGGCGGATTGCGGATGGACCCGAAACTTTGTGTCTTGGATTTCTTTCTACTCAGGACAACACCTGTACATGGTTTCATTGGGTCAAAACACAATTCATATTCACCGCAGGCTCACAGCTGGCCGCATTCACTCATACAAGCGGCCTCGAGTTGCTTGACAACAAAGCGGCAAAGCTGAGACATTCACTTAGATCTCGAATGGGTTCCAAATAAGCACTTGCAATGACAACAACCATGAACCGAGGACAAACAATGACAAACACCAATGTTGTGAAACAAAACATGCTCTAGAGCATGAGGTATGTGCATTTGGGTCGCCTGCAAGCTTCTGACTCACAGTCGGACCTACTGTCTGTCGATGCTCTTACTGACTTGTGGGTACTTGTGGTCTGAGTTTGCAACGTCTGGAGTGTCCTGGTATGGCTGATCCCTTCTGGTCCCACAGCTTAACGAGGCTGGACAAGCACTAAACATCTACCCAGCATTGCAAGCTAGAATCAACGCACGCTGTTTGGGAATCAAGAAGCTTCAACGTGGGGCAACATGCAAATACTGGCAAATGATGCCTCCTTGGTTTTCCCCAAACCAGCAGCCGCTGTCCTTTGCAGCTCCATCAGCCTGCCAAGAAAGCAATTCACAGCAACCATATCCGAGAAAAACACTAATAATACACTAGATTCACTAGATTTGGTACAGCCCACTGTCAGGTCCGTGTCGTCTGAGACTACGATATCCGGTTTATCGCACACTCGTCTGGCCGAAGGGCCTTGTGAGCGCCCGCGCAGATTGAATTCGGGTCGTTGAGCTCAAGCTCGGCCCGCCTGCAGATGCCAATGGGAACATCGCCCGTTTCAAGGACACCTGGGATAACCCTCCTGACGTGGCTGATGGTGGCGAAAAGCTTGGAACATCGCTCCAAACAGAAAAACACGAGTCAACATATGATAACAAAAGAACACAAAGCCGGCAACAAAGCCTTACACAGAATACTCTAGAACATGCATGTCATGGGAAGACTAGTTGGAAGCTGGAATCGTGCCCACTGTTCTGTGAGGTAGATCACCACTCCATCTGTTTCACACTGTTTGAAGAGTTTGACCAAGCCCATGACATCCCATGACCAAGAAGGCTTTCGCGCCTTCCTCATCACTGTCAGCACCGAAGAAGCGCGGGCTGGCCCTGCGGCATGGGTTCCTCTCCTTCCATCTCCTTCCTGACACACAAGAACCCTGCAACCATCTGTAACCTGTAAACCCTAAACCCTAACGTCCCTAACTACTTCCCTTAACTCTATGTTTTAACGATTGGTGTAAGACATTCTGTGCGGTACACTGATGTGCCATCCCCGGGCACTGACTTGCGCATCGTACCGGGCCACCCGACAAATGCCAAGGCATCCGCTCCTGAACGGATCGGCAAATGGATGCAAACAGCATGGCGAGAGAGCGGTGGGACTCATCAAAGCTCAGCTCTGACGATAGTGATGGGTGGAAACTGTGTGAAATTGATGGCTCTCCCACCCTAAAAGTCAGGAGACCTAGGCAGGACCTAGGTGAAGCAGTGAAGCCTCTCCGCGCCTTTTGGCCGCATGCGTTCTTGACCCCCCAGCTGTGCCCGGCGCCTTCTCGCTCTTTGGCTCTGTGGGCGGCACGACTGCAGAGGCCTCAGATGGGATATATAACGAAGGACGCCCGGACCAAGTCTGGCAAAGCTCAGCTTAGCTGCTTAGCTCACGTCAACCCATCAGTTGGTCACAGTTTGCGTCACTTTCACTTGCCGCTGACCGTCATGCCCTCATGCAGTGAAGGTTTGAGACACCATTTGACCAACCTGGGGCCTTCAGTTGGAACACACAGGGCCACAAGGTGTCCCTCCATGCTTCAAACCTGAGCTCTCCCCGGCCACACGAGCAAACACAAACCGGCTATCATCTGAAATCGATGTAACATAGACTTGTGGCCCAGAGGGGGGTGGCGAAAGCTAGGCAAAGAAACAACGCTGGGGCTCTTTAGGCAGCAAAAGCCTGGCCGGGAATCGCAACATGCCATGGCCAAGGGAAAAGGAGAGTGCCAACAGCGCCCCCCCAATACGACCCCAACACAGCCAACACATGGCAACACACAGCCACCCCAGCAACCGCAGCAGCAGCAACAGCCACAACAACAGTAACTGTAACCAGCAGCGGCAGCGGCACCAAGCAGCAGCAGCATCAGCAGCAGCTACCAAGCAGCAGCAGCATCAGCAGCAGCCACCAAGCAACAGCAGCATTAGGAGCAGCTACCATGCAGCAGCAGCAGCTACCATGCAGCAGCAGCAGCTACCATGCAGCAGCAGCAGCAGCAGGAGCAGCAAAGCAGCAGCAGCAGCAGCAGAAGCTACCAAGCAGAAGCTACCAAGCAGCAGCAGCAGCAGAAACTACCAAGCAGCACCACCAGCCACCAAGCAGCAGCAGCAGCAGCAGGTGAGCTTTCCTTAGAGTCTTTCGTGCCCCAACATTTGGTCTCGAACAATAGCACATATAGGTGCTGCCTGAGTAATTGTAGAAGGGCGACGTGGAAAAACATTATATCTGATATATATGTTTTTTCCACGAATAAATGCTGACGATGCAGCCAGCAGCGGTGTGCATGATTGACATCTAGGGGTTGCATGCGAACATGTGTCAGCGACCGAAATTCCGTCGCAACGCTTGTGCATGCTCCCTGTCGCTCGAACATGCAACGCGGACTACCATGAGTGAAGCAAACAGCCCGTTCAAACATCTTACTGGGTTCTGTCATTCATGTGTGTAGAAAGTATCATCTTTTGATCTGCCATGGATAGCGGATAGTGCATTCTGATTTGTACTCTTGGGGGTTGCGGGGTGGGTACATGCCTGTACAAGCTTCTTAAGGATATATATATAATGAAATTAGCATTGTTTCACGACTCAGAGGGAATGCAACTACTCTCAATTCTAACGAATAGGCTTTCTTCAGCACCAACAGCAGCCAACAACCCCAAACAGCAACAGCAGCAAAACGGAGCAGACAACGAGCAGCAGGCAGCCAGCATCCAGCAGCAGCAAGCAAGCAGCAGCAGCAGCAGCAGTGACCAAGCAGCAGCAGCAGGTACCGAGGAGGAGAAGGGTGGAGTTGAACCCCGCGAGGGGGGGGGGTGTAGTCCTGATATATCAGGTAATAGCACTCAGGTCCTGGGCTCCCACCCTCCTTGCTAAAGCAAGACAGACTCCAGCTAGCTACAGCTAGCTTTCGTTATAAAAACAGCATCCACCAAGATGTACTCTGTCCTTCTCTTTGAGTTCTCTTCATCCTGTATCTTCACACCGATCGAACGGGTCAATCCAAGCGACGGTCTTCGCCTCCGGGCGCCCGATGTCACCGCCGTGGGCGGCGGTCGTGGTGGCGAAAACCGCTGGCGGTGCCACCGGTGCAGCTTCTTCGGCTGGGATGGTTGGCCTGGCACATCTGAGACGACAATTTGAAGTCCTGGTATAGAAATCCCTAGAATATATTCATATTTAATTAACCTTTGACCGAATCACTCGCCTTCTCTGTTTTTGTTCTCCAGACCTTGCGACGTCATCCGAGAAGATTCCCATCAAACATCTTCTTAGTCGTAGGGGGGCACACTTGAACCGCAAGAGTCTTGAGCAGCAGGACTCCCTCTCATCTCTCTCTATCTCTAAGTCTCTAACTGTCATCAAGTCAGGTGGAAGGACATTTGATCACACATCCAACAAGCCAAACAAAGCAGGGAAATTGGGATCTCCATGGATCTCCTAGTCTCTGAATGATCTGAATGGAAAAAACACGTTCAAGAAAAAACAATTTTATGAGAAGCAAACATTGTTCCTAGTAGCTTCTTGTTACTAGCAGTAAGGCACTTGTTACTAGAAGCGATGCAGTTGTTCCTAGTAGCTTCTCGTTTATATTAAATAACAGTTCTATGAGAAAGTTTCACCCCACCATCTTCCGCCTCGCCCGAGGCGCCGACGCCGGCCGCCCGCCAGCGACCGCGCCAGCGACCGGTGCCGTCTTGGGCACCGGTGGCTTGTTGGCGCGGGGCGTGCCACTGGGCGCGGAGGGCGGCCTGGAATTTGATGGAATTTGGGGAGCCGAGCGTCGGCAAAGTCGGCTTTGAGGTGGAGAAGGCAGGGGAAGACTTTTTGCGTTCTGTGCAATGGATATCAAGTTGTCTCTCTTCATGTCAACCTGTTTCATATCGTATAACCATGTATATAACTGTAATATAACTCCCTTAAAGCTACAAGCAAATAACGAAGCCTGCTAGTCTGCGATATATTTTTGAGCTCCTAGGTATCAAATTCGCTCCGTCGCGGTTTGGACTCCAATTCTGTCCTAGCCAACACCACCAAACAGACCCAAACCCAAAGTGTAGAACACAAATGCAAGCGAACACGTCCACAAGCAATTCTCGGAGTTGCTAAGAAGGCCTTAATGAATCTTGATGACTCTTCATGACTTGATGGTCTCGGAGCATCTCTTTTCTGCTTCTGGTCGTCGTACCGAAACACAACCCACCGCCTGGTCAGTGGTGTAGAGGAGTCGACCGAGCGCGCAGTGTGGAGGGACTGCACCGAGTAAGAGTGGGCCTCACTGGGAAGATGGTGCGCGCGAACTCTGCTGTTTCCCTCATAACAATGGAGGACTAATGACCAGCAAATAGATTTCGCAACGCATGCCAATGCATGCGCACTCGCTGTACAACCATAATGTGGCGTTTGCCTGGGCGTGAGTCCAACCCCAATCAGTACCCTACAGCAAAAGAGCAAGCAAAGGGTGAGAGATGATCCAAGTCTTTGCTGACCTTGATCCACTGAATTGTCCATCGCAACTCCTGCGCACACCGTCAGTGAGCTCATCATGAAGGGCAAAGCCAAATATCAAAAGAGTAGGTTGGCGACCTTTTGGTGCATGGAGAGAGCATCACCTGCATCATGTACTTCAAAGCCGAACATTAAGGCAGTAGGTTGGAAACCTACAGCGCATGACGAGAGCATCACCTGCATCATGCGCTTTGAAGCCGCACATTAAGGCAGTAGATTGGCAACCTACAATGCATGGCGAGAGCATCATCTGCATCATGTCCTTAAAAGCCGAACATTAAGGTAGAAGGTTGGCAACTTACAGTGCATGAAGAGAGCATCACCTGCATCGGCTTCAAAGCAGAACATTGAGGCAGTAGATTGGCAACCTGAAGTGCATGCAAAGAGCATCACCTCCATCATCCGCTTCAAAACTGAACGTAAGATAGTAGGTTGGCAACCTACAGTGGATGAGGAGAGCATCACCTGCATCATGTACTTCAAAACCGAACATTAAGGCAGTAGGATGGCAACCTACAATACATGACGAGAGCATTGCCTGCATCATGCGCTTCAAAGCCGAAGATTAAGGTAGTAGGTTGGCAATCTACAGTGCATGAATCAGATCATCACGCGCACGATTTGCTACTCAATGTTGCAATCCAATCTGTAAGACCAGTCCGAGTCTGATCCAGACCTTACATTGCATGGGTCGTGTTTTTGTAGGATCAACTCCAGTAGAGTGAGGTCAAGCTGGCCTAAAAGACTTTATATCAATCCCAAACAGTGGAATGACCCGAGAGCCCGAGAGCCCGGCTTCGATCTTCTGCCCGGCCTGGAAGATCCGATCCGTCTGAAGGACCGATCAGTAAACCATGACCCAAAGATACCCAAGTGTCTGCCGTGAATTTATTGTGTCGTGCAACAAAATATCACAAAAAGGCTGATTCGAGGCAGTGATGCTACTGGTGATCCAGTCTAGGAAGCGACACATACTGTGGAGAATCCCAAATCCCAGCAAGAACAGCTACCAGGGATCTCGTTCTGAAGTGAACTGTTCTTCTTTGATACACGAGCTGATTGTGCCATTACAGGTCTCCAAGGCATTTCTTTTCATCACTCTAATAGCGATGGTCCAAAAAATATCAAATTAAATTAGGCTATTAGACCGTTAGACCTTTCTTCGTTTTCTTTAGTCCAGTCTTTGTTTCTATTAGCGGCGGCCTCCAAACTAATAGGGATGGCCTCCAACCCATCAGCATGTCTTCTTGAAGAACATTGTGATGCTTAACTTGTTTCAGCCAGCCCAACTCATGACTGTATGCAATCCGCGAACTTCCTCGAGCGAGCTGATCTTTTCTGCAAAGTGACCCATGTTCTGGAGTTCCCAAAAGAACATTGGTTTGTCTAACAGCAACTCCATTGGCATTTCCTGACGATTCTGAGAACCACCTGCACAAATCACACCCCTCCTGCCTTCGGAGGGTTTCCTGAATTGGAATCCACCTGCAGCTGTCCAACGCGTAGGAGTCGTTTGCAGGCTTCTGCAACACCCCAAAAGCCTTGGACGATGATGTCCTTCTTGAACCGTCCTAAAACCAGTTTACTAACGGAACTTGGTTTATTTTTGGAACATATTCGATCTCCTTCATCTTCGGTCGTGTTTTCTCAACATCGTGGTGTAACTCCCCTGGGAGCTCCCAGGATCCGTTCATACGATTTTTCGGTACAAAATCTACCGAGATCAAACTCCCAAATCTCTAACTCCCAAATCTCTACGGATTCAGTAACCCCGATCTACAAGTATCATCAAGTATCTAAGATGCAAGTCTTTTCCATCCTGCATCATCCCCACTCCCCCTTGCACCTCCCTCCTTCGTTCTCGCTCTCGCCTCGTAGAGCCGCTCCCACCACGGCCGCCCCGCCGCGCGCTCGTTGGCTTTCTGCTGCGCCAGGGCCGCGATGCTGGCGGGCGAGCCATGGGGACGACCTGGAGACGACGGACTGCGACCGGACCGAGGAAGGGCGAGGAAAGAACAAACCGATGTCCTCAGCGAAAACAAGAAAGGAACACACAGCTTGTGGTCACGGCTTGAACTTCTAAAGTTGTTTTTTGTAGCTTTTTTTTTTTTTTTCGAAAGAAGTCCTTCAATGAGATAGGTATGCCATGGTATGCCGAAGAATCATACTTGAAGCCCAAAGATTTCCAAAGCATTCCCTCCTGTGCAATGTCAGGCTACAGATTCCATTGGACAGCCATTGCCTTCCAGGAGTCTTTCACACACACACACACACACTCGCACGCTCGCTGCCTTGCAGGTCGACGACAGTCACAAACCATCACAAACCTGGACTTGGACAAATCGATACTGAGACATCTGCCCAGTGAGAAGGAGGCGCTCCTCTTGTTCCGCAAAGTGTGTTCAGACCTGTCAAGCAGTGTGATCTTTCAGCGTCAAGCACCAGCTTTGGGGCTGAAAGTAGCTATGCTTGAGGGCGTCCTGCAAACCTTTCTGCGGCACTGGAGCACAAGCCTAGGATTCCTGCGAAGAAGAGACGATGCTTTTCTTGAATATCTTATGCAGGCCAAAAGGTACATATCCGAATGGGCTCTCTCTGCAGCTTAGTTTTGGAATAACGAGATCCCAAATGGGCATGGGTTCAACACGGGTCTAGGACACACAATTGGTAGACGTTCCGTCCTTTCTTCAAACAAACTCAAGCACTGCAATGATGCAGCCACACACACACACACACTCTTGGCGTGTCTTCTTAGTCCCACAGAAACTCTCAATCCTCTTCTTGTCCGTCTGTGTAGCAAAGGGGCATTCCAGTTCCTTCCATGTTGCACAATCGTGCCATGTCATACCCCACTGGCACATCCCGCAAGCATCTTCCAACGAACTCTAAACCTCCAAACTGACTCCCCCCATCTCCCAGTCTTCTCCCAGTCGCCTATCTTTGGGTCTGGGACTGGCTGAAGCCTCGGACGACCGGACCGGACCAGCGACTCTTATGGACGTTTAAATGCGGCCTAAGCATGGGGCCCCTCACACAGCCCCCATGAAATCATTTTCTTAGACACCACTCATAAGTTATTAGATACAATGAACACTTTTTGGAGGACAGGTTCCTGAGTCTGAACACAACGAGTTAGTGTCCGATGGATGTCCATTTTGTTTGGCACTGTCTGACCACAATGCATTCCACTCTTATCAAGAACTTCCAAGGATATACTTGTTTTTAAATCTTTGGCCTTCCCTGCATCCCTGCATCTTGTGTGAGCCACTCTTCTATGGCTCAGGTGCTATTCTGATTCAATGCATGTTTTAAATCACCTTTCAGCTGTCCTACTTTAAACTTTGGACTTTAGACAACCCCACCAATGCTGCTATCAGTACGTTACAGAAGGCTCCAATCACCTTCCCAAGTGATGTTTCGTCTTGATTCTGTCCAAACGACATGGAGATACGGGATACTCCAGTGAAATCAAATCACAGGTTGAGAAAAGACCACACAGCATCAAACCCAAATGAAAGGGAGCCCTGATAGGAGTTCCGTTCGCTTCCGGCTGCCTCAGTGGTGTCAGGCTCTGCATCTGGTTCGGCGCTCGGGTCCTTCAGCTGCCCCCAAAAATGGATGAATGAACATGAATGAATGACCCACAAAAGCCTCAACACACGCAGGACACCACCAAGGAACAAAGATCCATCCTTTTCCCTCTCCGAGGATTTGCTCAACCATACCCTCTCCCACATCCAAACCCCGTGAAACATCCATCAAGCAGTTTTCTATTGGGGCAGTTTTCCATCAATCGACCCACCTAAACAAAGAACGTGCCATGCAAAAGGAAGAGCAACAACAGTGATGCTGGGGCTGATCCCAAAAGTCCTCCCACTTGCTTCTACTTCGAGCTCGTCCTTGGTCTCTCTCCTGTTTTCGGCCAGACTAAGGCTTCGCTGCCGAGAAACAAAATTGCCCGAGTCTAGCTGACAATACAACCTAACAAAATCCAAATTGCAACAACATGTTCTACATTCGCTCCCAAATATTTGTGAGCCACATGTTCTACACAACCCAGCCTTCTCCTCTGCTTTCTTGCTTTCCTTCGGCCCCACAGACGAGGCACGGCCTTAGCACGACAGATCGGACAGGATAACACCAGCATCATATCATCATATCTTCTGAACAATTTATGCGCTTATGACTTATGAATGATCAAACTTGGCTCTAAATTGCTTCTTCCTACTCAACACCGCTACAAGGAGCGAGCTACATCGTACTCCATCTTTCTTCACCAAGCTTCTCGACCCGAACACATCGGCTCCTCACAGCAACTCCGTCATAGACGCCCTGAAACCCACAAATACCATACTAGTAGCGATGGCCTCCAACCTAATTGCAATGGCCTCCACCTAGTAGCTTCTTGTTACTACAGGTGAAACAATTCCCAAGGAAGCTTCTAGCTCCTAGTAGCTTCAAAGACCTACTAGTAGCGTCCTTGCTACTACTAGCGATGGCCTCCACCAAAGGCTCCATACAAAACCCACCCAACTTTTTCAACTTTGTTTTGGGCCCTCACCCGCAGCGCCCGGCGCTGGAGAAGACGACCGCGGTCCGCACGGCGAAGAGCGGTGTCCACTGGAAACACGGCCCGCCCATGCTGGGGCACCACCTGGCCAGCATTTCCAGAATCTTGGGAATCGGAGTGCATTTGGCAACATTTATCTTAAACTTGATGTAAACCTGAAGGAGGAATCGGTTTCGGAAACACTTGAGGATCGAAGATTTGTATAATGGAATGTAGAATGAGCTATGGAAGCAAGTCCAACGAGTATCCAACATATGTTGCAGAATGAAATAAGCGAAGACTCTGGTCATGAAACCAGCCCTACATCAATCTAAATCAGCCAGAAAACATGAGGTAAATCCTGTTCTGGGATGTTCTGCAGGCATCCTTTCACTGGTCTTCACCAATCCCATCGCTTCTGATCTTCTATCTTCCATCTCTTCTTAAAAGAAACAATAAGCTATTAGAAACAAGTGCATCGCTACTAGTAACACGTGCCTTACTAGTAGTAACAAGAAGCAAACTATTCACTTCTTCTATCTTCTTCTCTTCCCTCCCATCTCTGCGATGTCTGCCGAGCCGAGCCTCCACTAGGTGGTCTGGGCCTGCGACTCAGAGGCTACTGAACGCTTCAAACAACCCTCCAACAACAAGACAAACAATCAGAAAAAAACACATGTCATCTTCCATCATCTTCCCAGAAGCGCTTCCTCCCAAACTGAACCCTCCCTACCGCTGCGTCTCCAGATTCTTGGCTCCCCAGCGGTCGAGCAGCGGTTCTGCCAGTCGCCTTCTCAGGCACCTTCGGGTTGGTCGACGGTTTCCGACACCGGTATATAAGTGGATGGCATGGCCCCGAAAGGATGACGAAATCCGAATAGCAAACCTGTTACTACTAGCGTGGCACCTGTTACTACTAGCAAACAGGTCGGTGTTCATTGGTTTTCCACTTTTGTCCATGATTTTTTCAGAAACTGTATGATGGAGGAGGCGCGGCTCCAGCGGAGGCGCGAGTCGGGGCGAAGCATCGAATGGAACGCGAGGCGCGAGTCGGGGAGTCTTACTCAACTGACTTCCTCACATCATCCATTGCTCTGAGATTGAAAAACTTAATATCCACAAAATTCAACTAAATCTCCTAGCAAATTCTTTTCGACATACAATTACTATTGCTTTTGCCAGAATTTTGACCATGGCACACATAAACGCAACATCCTCTCCATCCTGTCTGAAGCCCAGCACTGTCCATGTGTTCCTCTTGTCGCCTCACTGGGAGAACGGCGCGCAGGTGCCGAACTGGGCCTCTCGAGCACGGAGCGGTGCTCTCGGGAAGCGTGTCCAAGGCCTCCAACCGTCCCGGAGTGATGGCCTAATCGGGTGGTAGCGACCGGGTGGTTTGGGAGGAATATGGAGGAATCGTCAATCGTCATGTGTCCTTGAACATGCGCTACATTCTTCTCACAGGCTCCCTGGTGGGGTTGGGAATGTTGGGAACTCTAGCCGCTAGCCGTGAGAGGAAGGACTCTTTGATCCCCAAAAGTATTTAAGTCATGAGTGGTCCAGTGGTCCCATAGCACTTAGATCGATTCTGAGATCTCAAGCAGTTCCACGGCAAGGGGAAGCTGGCCAAGACTGACCGACAGTAGCGATTCGTTGGTCCGATTCCACGTTGAAAACCTCACGGGGATCTTCAAGATTCGGTTGCTTTGGCCTTGACGCAAGCAAATCAGGAAACAATGATGTTCAATCGAATTTTCGATCCTTCATATTCAATGAGCCAATGAGCAACTGAGATAGAATTCTAGTCAAATGACCATTTGCCTGCTCCTTCCGGGACCGTCAGCTGCCTCGCTGGACGTCCAGGTGCTCTGGGAGGTGTCTCTGAAGGCACCTGTCTTGTCTAGCAGTATAGTCTTGTTCAACAACCCCACCATTCGATGCTTTCCAGCTTTCCAATGATTTGAATGAATCACTTATAGCTGTTTCAATGGTTTTGGTCTCTCTGTGCATGCTGTTCTTGGCAGGCCTTGGAGTTTTCGTCCTCCTTCTTGGCAGCCTGCGGAGTCAAACTGAAGGAAGGGCTTGCTTGGATGGGATTTGTGTGAAGCGGTTTGGAAGTATATCTGGATTCAGAATCCCAGTACGCCAAGCAAACAATACACACAAATAGAAACCATATATCATATAGGCCTTCATGTACGAGGAAGAACCTCGCACATGGTACAAACTGCCACCACAACTGCTCATGGCTCTAAAATCCTGGGCATTTCCAAGGTCAAAAAGTCTACGACAAAAACCATTTCCGAGTTGCCGCCCGAGTTCGCGCCTCTGGCGCCGCCGGTTTGGATGTGCTTGCTGGGGCTGGTGCTTCAGGACTCTTTGTGCTCGGATTGGGAGGGCCTCGAGGGCACTTCGAGGGGCGACCGCAAGCATTCGCAAGCCGCAAGCCCTTAGTAGCGATGGCCTCCACCCTAGCAGCGATGGCCTCCAACCTAGTAGCGAGCCAGCTGAAGTAAGGATTTTCACATGATGTGACTGACATTGGGAGGCCACTCCTATGCCACATACCATCATAGACCTATCTTGCAACAGTCCAAACTGGAGCAAATCTGCCAAGACAAACAATTAAATTCCGATGAACCTTTCTGCTTCGGATGCTTCGTGTCGGATCGCTTTGCATCGTCCTCCGTCCTCCAATCCCTGAGCTCCCCAACGTGGCGTGGGGCCCGTGGGGCCCGTGGGGCCGCGGGTCGCGCTGACGCCGCTGACGCCACCAGTGGCCGGGACGCCTGGAGTCACGCCTGCGAGGATGGAGTTCAGAACAGGCTTGAATTTGTCAAATCAGGATTCACCTTGACAGGGTGGAGTAACCTGGTTACTAGTAGCTTCTTGCTGCTAGTAGTTTTTGGCTTCTTGCTACTAGTAGCTTCTTGTTACCAGTAGCGATGCCCTTGTTGCTAGTAGCTTCTTGTTCCTAGTAATAAGGCACCTTGCCACTAGTACCTTCTTGCTACTAGTGGCAATGCCAGGAGTTTCATATATGGTTTCATTCACTTCATCTTTTATTTCCATAGCCGAACAAAGCATGACACTTTGTTCTGCAAAAGATTGTCACCGCTCATCTTTCAAACGACTTGCGCTGCGCTTCATGTTGCACGCTGGCCCGGGCGCAGTTTGCACCCACGGCTTCATGCGTTTGCAGCCATGGGAGGCTCTGCACAAAATACGTCTCTTCTGCCAAAACCTATATTCTTCTGACATGTTTCCTTCCCAAAATGGCTGCTCCTTTTCTTTTCTCATCTTTTCTCTCATGGGGTAAGCTGAAGGTCGATCAAGTCAAAGAGCGTCGCTTCTCACTGGGCAGGAGATATCCCAGATCTCAGCGCAAATGAGAAGCTGGAGAGCATGCCTAGTGCTAGGCCGTCGCCCCATGAGTGCTCCTAACTTTTCCTGTGATCAAGGCTTCTTGGAAAGTCCCTAGATGAGACCATCGTAAAGGACCTCAAAAGCATCGTGGCCATAGACTTGAGGCCCCGGCTGCCGAGCAAACCACCACAACGGGCCCCTTGCACAGCCTGCCCATGGGATCACTGCAACACAAAGTGAAAGATTCACTCCCTCTATATCCCTCTATGAGCTAGTGGATGGAGGATACTATTCAGATTCATATCTACTATTCATTGCTATTGCTATTCAATGAGCAGCCAAACACTTACCAGGAGGCCTCCGTCCTCAAAACAGCGGCCATATTCCATGCGACCCACAAAGAAACTTATCCTACACGCCATTTGCCCTTCAGTTCTCGCAAAACTGTGAGTCCTTTGCAACAGGGCCTCCAACATCCTCCAACCTACTAGCGATGGCCTTCAACCTAAGAGCAATGTCTTTGCTTTACGAGTTCTTTTGGTGAGTTCTTCAGAGTACTTTTGGTGGCCAAGTCTGTGACTTTGCCCTGACACTGCCGGACCACATCCACAGTGGGAGTCAATCCAACTGCCCAGCACCTCCAGCGCCCGTTGGCGGCGTTCCTCTTTCGTCTTCTGCCTCAACCGGTTGCAGTTCTACACCGCGACCGAAGAGGCGGTGTGAGTCGCCATGCGCCTTTGTTGGACCATGGCGAGATCGGACTCCGCCATGTGCCGTGATCCTCTTCCACGTGTCTTCATTTGAGGGAGGCATGACCAACACAACAGTGTCGTCGTTGGATTTGGCCAAGACGGGGCGGGACACCAAGAGAAACTGAGATGACATTCAGCTTTCTTGGGATTTCCAGCAGCGTCCCCAGTCTCTCTGCACCAAGGCTAGGGCTTCTCCTCCAGCAGCTTCTTTCGCTCCTGGAAGTACGGGGCCCGGTCGCCGGTCACCTCTCCTCGTTGAGGACCTCTCCTAAAGGAATCCTCGGGTGCCCTCCATGGGGTGCAGTCATCGTGAAAACCGGGATTTGGACAGATGCACCTGGAAGACCCACCCAACTGGAAGACGCTTTCAGCTCACCCATGGTGTAATTCCTTAGGTGTAATATGGTGTAATCAGTACAATTGAGCGTTTATATAGATGCTTTTAGGATCAGACTTTTACGTACCTTTCATAACTGCCCCATGGAGGATTTGTTGCTACTGAGTTTACCATTGTCCTTGTTGCTGAAGACTTTCAGAAACACCAGCTGAGAAGGACAAGCGTGGGTCCACGGTTTCAGAAGCCAAAACATGTTGTGAAAACTCACATATCTGAGACCAAGATGACCAAGCTCTTTGTTCACACTCCCCTTGCTCTAGAGCTAAATACCCTTCTCAATCCTCTTGGTTGGCAAGACTCCACACCAATCGCGGTCACCCTTTCGTCCGCTTCTTCCCACCACGTGCTTCGCGATGCCACGCGATGCCCGGTTCACGCGGTCTGCCTCGGTCCACTCGGCAGCCTTGGCTTTCCGGCGCTCTTGGCGTGCCTCACAACGCTCCGGGGCGACTCGTGGGGATCGATGGGGGAGAGCTTCGAGTGGGTTCACTTCGTGGAAGATGCTCCTTTCCGTCACCAAGTAACCTCTACTTGGGGGGCGATGATTGCATGCCAGTCATCTTTCACAAAGGCATCACGAGCCGTCATATATAAAGCAAAGCTGCAAAATCCACCTATGGCCTCCAGACTAGCTTGAATGAACTTCTGCCTCCAATAGCACTGAAAACTGCATGATATAATATATATAGTATTAGTATAGGTAGAGACTGAATGCACACTACGGTTTGGTTCTCGCTTGACACCCGGATGACCTCAGTTAGTCTTTCCACTTCAATCTTCAAGCAGCCTTTGCTGTGAAATTGAACGTTTGCCTATGTTTGCTTCTCCCCGAAACTCGATCAAACTTTAGCACACATCTGTGGAACTCATCTCCAAGGGCCCGGCCCAGTGACTCTCCCCACCCCACCGGGCGCCGCCACCCGAACAATGCGCCGCTGGTAGAGGAACTTCTCGTCGAACATCCGGACACGATGCTGGCGGAAACGGGTTTTCCAGGCCCAACGGATGTGGGAACGGTCGCCAGCATCGAGGAGATAAACATGGAGATAAAATGAGTCTCCTGATGTCTGGGTCCTGGGAACATGAGGATGTACCCCCTGAAGAGGAAAGGGATTGGACAAAGATTTCTGGGACTACTTGGGATTCATTGATAAAACGTTTCAAGCGACCTCAATTACCCTACGATAATGCTAAACATGACCATCAGTGAGAACACGAGTGAAAAGGCCTCACACTACGGCGGCTCTCGGTTGACTTCACCAAGTCATATCAAGTCACTGGGCCCGACTGAAAACTTGCTTCGTTCCTGTTGTCAAAGACTGTAACGGTCCAAGTTGCGGCCATTAGCAACTATGCATTCTCTTGATGGTCTTTGGATTCTGCTGCAGTACGTCATAAATTACGTCCCACAAAACATGTTTGACCAGCAGGCCCGGTTGTTGGAACATATGGAAACATCCTTGCTGAGTCACTATCACGACCATCGCTTGGTAGAACTTTCCAGGGCTACCACTGTCGCCAGCGTAACAGTTCTACAAAGAAACTCCGGTAGCATGTGGTTTCGACACTCCAGCAGCATGTTCTGCAGTGCTTCATCTATGAGATCCATCGAACGAAGAAGGATTTCAAATTGAACGTGGGGAGGCAATCCCTGCCCTGGTGGATGAGACTGATGGATTCCCTTGGAATGAAGATCGGCTTCCCCGACCACCCAAGCTCAATGGAACGTGTGCATCGCTTTTTGCGAATCGAGTGACCATCGATCTGGACATGATCTGCAGCTCAAAGGGCAGTGGAGGTTTGTGATCCCACCACCTGTGGGGAACGAGGTGCGGCACGCACAGTCTGAGCATGGAAAACAAGGTGAATTCTCCGTACCAAACACTTGACCTCTGTTCCATAACATGTTTTATCGAATGTTTGCAATGCCATGAAAGACGAAGACCTCAGGTTCCATCACTGTTCTTGCCCTTCCAACTGCTCCCCCCGTTTACTGGGTTCTCAGGCTCCACCCTCCGTTGCGTGTAGACGGGAAGTGGCACCTGGCGGATGTCCGACACATCGTGATTCACGAGTGCCACATCGATCCAGGATGATCCATGTAGTTCAACAAGTTCATCCAGGTAGATCCAGGTAGATCCTTGTCCAGGTGAAACTTGTATATCTTTGAACAAGTTCAACAAGGACCCTCAAAACATCTCCAAAACGAACCGCGGAATACTCCACTTGCGACAGTGCGGAAGACTCGTCGTCTTCGACGAGGCCTCAAGCAAACTCTGCGCCCGACTGGAGTCGCATTCGAGATGGAACCCAAGCAGCAGTTTTGTTTGGCATTTCGCTGAAAGAAGCAGCAGTTTGTTTGATGAGGTTTGACGCAAAAAGGTTGAGCTACTGGCTGGGCCCTGTCTGTGTCTTGTCTGAGAGATCCCCCTTGCCCAGTGCACATCACCCGGCCTTTCCTTCCCGCCACCACACCGAGAACTCCTGAAGAATGGACATTTCAAGGCTAAACGTGGTCAGATTTGCCCATCCACATGCCAAACGTGCTTCCTGCTTTTCTTTTCCAAGCAACTGGTAGATCAGAATCAATTAGTTCCGAGATGTTTCCCCACAAAGCATGGCATGATGCATGGTTGGTAGCAGGTTAATCATGGCCAGTGTGCCCCCTCTCCTCGTGAAGCCGCTGTGCCAGAGCCACCCGAGCCCGCCTGGCAGTGGAAAAAAGACCTTCCAACTGTGTGGATCTGTGTTTTTTCTTGCTCCAAAGACCATTTTCTCCCCACATCTGATGATGATGCTTGAAACACACGCACACAAATCGCCTCAAATTCTCTCTCTCTCTCTGCCAAAAACAGCGCCGGCAGCACGTGAGGATGCGGGCCCTCTGAGTGGAGGATACCTCCAACAAAACGGATCCCTGAATGACCAGAACCGTTGGCAGTCACGACATCGCTACTAGGGTGGAGGCCATCGCTACCAGGGTGGAGGCCATCGCTACTAGGGTGGAGGGAGAACTCTTGTGACACCTTTCACTTGTTTTCTTGGGCAGTTTGGCTCTGGCGTGCTCATCTGCAGCAAATCATGGATGTTGATCGTGAATCGTAACTTAGCCTTGGCAGGGGAGGAGACCCCTTAGCATCCAACAGATCTATCCGAATCTATCTTAATCTATAAAGTATAGCTCCTCTTTCTCAAGCAGACTGTCAGGTTCGCTGCCAGGCCTATATATCTGTGAGACACCAAAATTAAAAAAGCACTATCAATACAAACTTGATGCATCTCTCCAGTGCTAAATGGCACACATCTTAACACTATGCACAGGGAAGTGATATGAAGCAACCAGAACGTCCAGATTTCAGAAGCCCTGCGCCCAGCTCCCGCGAATGCGCCAGGCTTGACGCAGCTCGACGCAGCTCCCCGGAATCAAGCCCTCAACTCCAATAGTCTTTTTCCGCCCACGATCTCCTTGCCATCACTCTGTTAGGATTTTAACTATTCATCCGGTCTGAAGTCCGTGGAGCTGCAGTCTGCTGAACCAAGGTAGGGGAACCCACGAACTGCGACTGTGGCATGCCTGGCACAGGTTGCTGAGCAGGCTGAGACGGCTGAGCCGGTAGCTGAGCTTTAGTCTGCCACATAGCTGGCGGCTGCTGTGCCTGCTGGGTTGGCCTTGGCGGGAGAAGGGCTTGTTGCTCAGTACGCGGCCACTAAGCTCCAGCTTGGCTCTTTGTCGCTTGCGTCTGGTCTCGCACGAGTGGCTGACACGGAGCTGCTTTTGGCTGAGCTGAACTCTGCTGTGCTGGAGTCGCTTCTGGTGTTGGCCGCTCCGGAGTCCCCAATGCTTTGCTCAAGCTGCGCCGGCGCCAGCCACTCCCACGCCTACAAGTCACTTGATCAGCGAGGAAGCTAACTTCCAATGAAGATCTGCTTCCGAATGAAGCGCAGATGTGCGTTCTCTCAATTCACCGTCCGGTGGCGTGATGCTGCCACTCGGCGCAGGGCCCCAGGGTCCACACGGCATGGGAGGATACAAGGCATAGGTGGATGCACAGAACCTGTTGGACAAACCTGTGGAGGAGGGAGTGTCCACCTCGTGCTCTTCCGGTGGAAAAGGTGAGGTTCCGCAGCTCCACACGACTTCCTTCATGTTGACCGGGCAGATGTGGCGGTGTCAGACGAAGCGCTTGCAGCTCCAGAAGTCAAGTCCTTTGGGGAGCGGAATGGAGCGAAAATTCGATGTGAAAAGAACACCCGCTCCGGTCCTATCACCCGCTCCTTGGACTGGATGTAGAGTTGACTCAACACTCCCCAAGTGCTCTCCATACCCATTTTTGGTAAGTGGACAAGGGGTTGTGAGTATAGCAAGGTGTTTTCTGCTGAAAAACAGGACAGGGATTGGCCGAGAGGCAATAGACCTCTCTCGCAAGTACATCCGTGTCATCCAGAACCAGTCCTGCACGGAATGACTTGGGCCATCACACGACTTGACCTCAAATCCTGCACCATCACGACCAAGCCATTCGTGACAGCTTCATGGTCTCCCAAAACATAAAACAGAAAAAAAACACTCTTTGTGAGCAAGAAGTCCCCTGAGAAAGAATCTCTCTCTTCCATCTGTTCCCACATGACGTGGTGCTCTGATCACCACGTGGAAAACCGTCGTTTTGTGAACACCACCGAGTCAGTCCACCGAGTCAGTCCTCGAGGGTGAACTTCAAGCGTTCGCCTCAAGACCAGCGAGGCGGCTTCCGGCGCCCGAAGGCGTCGAAAACGGTCACCCGGTGTCACCGAACGGCGTTCGCTTCTTTTCGGAGCTGTTTGATTGAATTCCTGGTCTCAAACGGATGTAAACGTGTAGAACAATGGACAAGGATGAGTACATGCAGTGGAGGGAACCCCTCTCAATAGACACGTCATGCTAGCTTCATATTATAGTTATAGCCGCTGAAAACTGTGTGAGCAGAAGCGTGATCAGTTGAATGAAACATCATGAAACAATGGCAGGTCACAAAGTGTACGTTGGACCTCCTTGTAGATCTCCAACTTCTCCAACTCCTGCAGTCACCATGACACACGCAGGCATATCATATCGAAACCCACAGCTTCCCTGACACACGCACACACACACATGATCACCGCTTGAAGCTGATCAGCCCAAGTCAAATCCACATTCCCATCATCTCCAACTCGACCCACCAAGAGACCAAGATCGACTGACCAACACATGAGACGTTTCTTCCGAACCTGGATGACGGGATTTAATCAATCTATCTGTTTAAAGGTCAGAATCACAAGGCCATCATGGTCATGGAAAAAAACAAACGGGTTGGATAAAGTGTGGATACAATGGCCAGCAATCTAGGAAATTACACCTATTGTAATTGTATATTGACTCTTGTTTACAAAGTTAGCCAAAGAGTTCGCATTATATTATGGGCAACAGTATTTCAAAACATCTCAATACAATACCCTTCGGGGGCGCTATCGGAGTTGCCGACCCACCGGAGGCCATGGTTCCGGTAAATGTTTCAAGGCTTCAAGTGCCATATCGACAAACAGTCTGGCCTTTTCTCGCCCACCCGTTCTCCTCCTGGCCAACCTGACATGCAGAAGAATCGTCATGTGCTGTCCCCAGCCCTCAGAGCCTCAAACATGGTTTTGTAGGGTTGTACTTCGTACTTCGAGGTCGCTCAACTGGCCTATGTCGACTTCCAGGTAAACCGCTGTCTGTGGTTTTTGGCGCTTTCTTGGCTATCACGTCTAGACATGTTCTACTTGAAGTCAAACAAACAACCCCCCAGAACATGCTCCGCACAGCTGTCTGCCAGCTTGTCGGCTTTGATCGCCAGTGCTCTTGTGGGATTGAAATTGAGGAATTGAATGCATTGGCAGATATTGGCAGCATTGTGAGGCAAACAATTGATGGACAAGTAAATAAGACATCCACTCAAATTTTGCACAAACTCTAAACTCTTCGTGGTGTAGGTAGAGTTGTGGAACTCAAGGTTTCCAGAGAGAGAAGAATTGGAAATGTAACAAAGAATTCACCACTGACAAAGCACACATATGCCAATATATGCCAATATATGCCATACACATAGCACCACACCTGCCTCCATGAGATTCTTCCAATCCTCACGCTTCAAGCGCTTCCTGAGCGTCTCCATGACTGGCCGCCTGGGCGAACTCCAGGGTCCGCTGGCGTGGCTGGTTCCATTGCAACGAACGATTTTGTCGGTCGAAATGACCTTCTTGTGGATCGCTGGATTTGCTCCAGGATCCCGGAAAAATCAACCATGGCCCGAAAAAGGAGATCTACCCATAGGGAAAATCGAACATCACCTAAGCCCTAAGCCAAACCACGTACTGCAGCCATGCCTTATGATGCCTAGGCTTCTCTGGGCCAGGGTCCCCAGGGCCCCAACAAGAATTGCCACATACAGCGCCATTCCAACGGTCGGAATGTCCCGTACCACTTGTATGGTCTTAAACAAAATGAACTGCTCAGGTAATTAATCCCGTATTGACCACCCTTGGTGACTTCCACTCCAATCAGGTTCACCTTCTCATCTTTATGTGTTTGACATTGAAACACCTTTCCTTAACATCATATAATATATGGACATCCCCCGTGGAATGACCGGTGCACCTTGAGACTTGATTCTATAGAGGACATTCGGCAGGGGATAGATTGACTGCATATTGACTGTATATAACCAAAAAACGACTGTATATAACCCAAAAAGCCCTTTCGCGCGCGTGCGCGGACCGGTCAACTCATCGAGCTGCACGAAGACCTCCGCCGCGCGGATCACCGAGATCATCTCGGAGGACACCGCGGACGGCTCCGGCTGCTCCAGCGGGCCGGGCACCCAAACGCCATGGGAGCCCATGGGGGAGATGAAGGCCACCTGATTTTGAAGGACAAACACGGAGGCGTTTAGATGAGGTGGTGGTAGTGGAGTTTAGATGATGAGGTAGTTGTGAAGGGCCTGGCGCCTGGTTTGTGCTCGATCTCAATGGTTCGGGGAGCTTGAATCAATGAAAGGAGGAGATTGAGGAAGTATTTGGATCACAAAGCAACACAAGCGAGGAAGGGTTCTGCGTCCATCCGCAACTACACAATCTCCAACCTAGAAGTCCTCCCATCTGGCTATTTCAAGCTATCTGTGCATCCTTTCGTCGCAGTCGTATTCCACTCGCCTCGCCGGGTCCTAAGATGATCAAAGAGCCAATCTTCATCTCATCCAGCTGATCTAAGACCTCCAGCACTGGGCTCTTTTCAGCAGATCGCTCGTCAGAGAGTCATTGGTCTCAATGGCGCATGTGAAGGCTATTGACATGCGTTGACTCACTCTTTCTCAATACATGACTATACATTAGTCTGACTACATACGACTACTATTCTTGCACCCACAAAACCAATGTGGAATTGAACATGATTTGAATATGATGTTTCGGATTCCTTCTATCAGTCTGGCACTCTGTTTCGGGACCCCCCAGCTCCACCCAGACTCCTGGCCGGCCTTCTTCAGCTTCAGTGGATCCTGGCGCCCCACGTGAGTCACGAAGAGGCCCAGCAGAACCGGTAAGAAGTGGAAGATGCTCACCCCAGAGACCTGCAGAAATTGAGGAAACCAATGAACCTCTGATATGCAACTCTTCTGATCTGAGAAAACCGATGAGGAGAGTCCATGTTTGATTGCTACAAATCAATTGAATCCAATTCTGATATGCCGCATGACCCACTCTTCTGTAGACATGTGTAGACGATGCGTGACTCTCATGACAGGCTATGGTTTTCAATTCTACCTGTTCGGTGCAGTCATGCGCAGGGTGCGTGTTCGGGTGCGTTTTCGCCTGGTTGTAAAGGGTGAAGTGAGGAGGCACGTGAGTGTCCTGGTGGTAGGAGGTGACATAGTGCGGCAGCTTCCAGATCAAATACCTCAGACAAAGACCGAGGTCCCTTCGGTCCAACCGAACGTCGTCGGACCGAAGCTGAGGCGTCCACACACCCTTCCCAATAAGCGCCAACATGCGGCAAAAAACACCTGGCAGTTCATCTGTCAAAGAAGATCTATCTGCATCCATCCAACCACCAAAACCACCAGGGATAAAAACATGAAGTCGGCCGTTGATCACCCTGTTTCACAGCTGTCCAACCGTCCCAGCCATCTTCCAAGCCTTTCGCTCTGATCCGATTTTCTGACCCGAACCCGAGGCACAAGAGCCGGTTGAGCTCCACTGGCTTTGAGCTCTTCAAAAGTTGCCGCAGCTGCTCATGGTAATTGTCCAAGAGCTCCACGCCACTGGGCGGTGCTGTTTCCGAACGCCGTGCGTCACGGCAGCGACGCCGCCACGTCGCGAGGTGTTGACGTTCGGTCTGGACCAGCACGGCGGTGCTTTTCAGGTGCTTTTGTGGGGATTAGCCGGCGTCATGGATGAGGAGGTACACTCCCTGGAACTAGCTGAAAGGATGGAACAAACTGACCGGTGGGTTTCCATGTTATGGTGCTGCCCAAGCCAAGGAGTGATGACATGCTGCTCCGGTCGGTCGTGACATGGACATTGCCTCTTGACTAACAAAGGAATCTCAAAGTTGCATCCCATCGACCCAGAGATGCCTCTGGCGGCGTTTGGCATAGTCCCAGGTGGTGTTCAATGATCCTGCAAGCTGATCGATGTGTCTTGGGGGTGAAATTTTAATGAGAAAACACAAGATATGTGTCAAACTATCATCTTGAGAATCCTCTTCTATCAATGCCAATGAACCCATGATATCCCAGCTCAAATCTGCCAGCAAAAGCATCCTTTGAAGCGCTGAACATAGCGCGCGCACATCAGGAAGTATGGAACATCTAATCTGCACACATGTCTGAATGCACGCACAAAGGCTTTTGCTCATACATCATTGTCATCTGGAAATGGTGTTGCTGGCAAAAGCACCGCAAGCCACATTCACGTCGTTCTTTGATGTTCTTCTTTGGTGCTAAAGACTAATGGGATACTGTATCCTTTTCACTGACCATCACGATCCCAACTCCACACACCACATATATTTGGCAAAAAAACACGAACACTCCGAAAACAAAATAAGAAGAACGCCACCGCTCATCTCCGCTCCTTGTCGTTCTGTGGGCTTCAACTCCGACACGGGCACTTCGTTGAAGGGCTCCTGCTCGAAGCAGTTCTCCTCGCGGATGGTGTACACGGACGCCTTGGACGTCACTGCACGGCGTCCGCTGCCGTGCTGCGAGGCAGCTCACCCACTTGAAGTAATTCTCTCTCGCCATCGCCTACTTATTAGGATTTTCATAGGATTTACTAGGCGTAGTCAACAGAAGCATCGTAGAAGCCAGGTCTGGTTCTTCAGATTCATTCCATCACTCTCGGACTCACGACTCGCACGGCCTGCAAAACAGTTCATTGATTTGCTGCTAGTCCTCTGAAAGTCTGCCCACATCTGCCAACCGCCTCTCTCCTACACTTGATCTGCTGGCCTCCGGGCCAGACAAGCGGCGCACCATCTGCAGCACCTGCGAAAAGCTCAAACCATCCTCCCTGCGCGCCAAAGACGATGCTATCCAGGAGCCCTGAAGAAGGTAGCCTGCACGGTCCATGCGGCGCCCGGTCTACAATGATTCTGTCCCTGGATTTTAACCTGAAAACACGCTGAGGATAAACCTGCCCACCAAGAACATTGAACAAAAGCAAAACATGTTGGCATATATATATATATATAATATATAGATATATATATATATATATCCATGCAGGTATATATCAATAGTCCATGCAGGTAGAAAATTAATAGATCTTATTATCTAGGCATGCTAAATCTCATTTCTGTGGGGTGGATACCGGGTGGATTGTTCTGTGCTCTTTGGTCCAGCGCCTGGCGGAAGCTTCTCTCCCTGCGAAACACGCATCACCCCGGGTCGATGGTGTTTCTTTAGGGTTTGGAAGCAAACTGCCTAGACAAAATATCTTGAAATACTGTTGTTGCAACCTAGAAAGGAAGATGAACACTAGAACTTTTGCAGAGATGTCCATGCTCTGCTTGAAGATCTTTCAAGAATGCTGGATGTGCAATATGTCAAGTAAACATTATCAGCATCACACAACCTCTTTCCCTGCACCCAGAAAAATAAACGCTTCACCGTTATATAAGTTTGGTGAACATGACTGAAATTACCAAATTAGACCGCAGATTCCTTCCCGATCTAGTGGGAATATGGACTAAAACTGTTTCTGATGTCTCAGACCCTCTGCATACTGGCTGAAGCGCTCACACATTAAGTATTACGTTGGCGGAAGGTGAATCTTGCAGTCTACACAAGTTCATTGCATAAATCTGATCTACAGTGTCTTTTTATTTGTTTGGCAAAAGCTTCGAAATCAGTTCCTCCAATTTGCTCGGCTCTTCGATGTTCTTCGATCATGTTCGACAATAAAGGGCAATGGTCATCGTGCGTCATGGCCAAGCAGCGGCAATGGAGTCATAGTTTCTGTGGGGTGGGACCAACCAATGAGTTGTTCTTCTATTCTTCTCACCCAAGGCGTGGGGTCAGCGAAGGCGTCTTGGCAAAGTTGACGCAAAAACACACAGGTGATTGGTATGGGGACGTCCCATCAACTGGTAAAGCTGGTCACAGAGTTCTTGGAGCCTACTGAAGTGCAGACAAATCGTATTGAACTCACCCGGCCTCATCATCCAATTGCCCAATCTCCCTGGTTCTCTGCAAGACCTCCTTTGCTGAGAAAACCCACAAGAAAGAGAAAACTGCAGAAGAATCGAAATGATCAACAACCCAGCTCCTCGTTTGCATGCGTTCGATGTCTCTGCACATTGGTATTCATGGTCTTTTTTGCAAGTGACGACTCTCATTGGTCCCCAAGTGTCCCCAGTCTCACACATCTTTCGAGCAAGAGCTGGTTGCATTCCTAAACATCCCTGGACACCTTAACAGAATTGATGTCCTCCAGAGTCTTGTCTTCCAACCAAAGCTCGATGGCCAAGCTGGCAAAATCCTCGCAATCGAAAACGCAAGCCATTGGCAAGATAAGAGAACTAGCTCTTCACCAACAGGTCAATGTTGAAGAAAAGGTCAGCGTCTGTCTGAGTTTATCACAATCCTCTACCCTCTGACATACTATCAAGTCGTACAGGGTCACGCCAGGACCTCTGGTCCTGTTCTTGCGGCATTGGTGTCTTGGCAAGATAGTCTCTCACTATTTCGAATGCTGACCTCGTCAAATGTGAACCCAGTTGTAACTGAACACAAGATAACAAGAAACAGCAAAGGTTGAAGAACCCTTTGGACTATCGGTACCCCTGTAGGGTCCTATAAGGTCACTTAACCTCTGTAGGAAGAACAACGTGGCTGGAATGCCAACAAAGGCGCTGAGGTGCAACAAAGGCGCTGAGGTGTAACCCCACCGTGCAAAGAAATCCTGGCGGAGAGGCGCATGGTGAGAGACCAACCACACAGGTCACGTGGGTCTTGGCCCCAAGGGTGTCCTGCTCCACCAAGCTTCGTGAGCACATGATCAGTAAGAAAAGAACATCAAGTGACTGACTACAAATTGTGTCTCAGGTTTTCGTGCGTGAGTCAGCTTTGGCATGCTTTAGCATGCTCCGTGTTTTTTCGCACATGTTGTTCAAATTTGCTGGGTCAACCAAACCAAAAGGTCTGTTTGCTGAGCCGCATGCACCTTGTCGGCACTTCGCAGGCTCGTCCCAAAAGTTCCCCAGCCAAAACATCAATTCACGGCTTTTCCATGCTCTTCCGATGTTCGACCTGCGCCCGGCGCTGTCCTTGGGCGATTTCGCCTGGCCGAAGCCAATCACGACTACGCAACATGGGCTCTTTGGGACTGCATTGGCAGGGTGAATTTGTATTTCAAGATCGAGAAGGACCGGAACTTCCAAATGGGAAAAACTACAAAATTAACATTGGTGGTCTCTGTCAGCGAATCAGAATCAGCCCAACACACGCCAATACAAAGACAGCTGTAGTGGGTGCTTGCGTGACTCCGTCTCCTATCCATACTTCTCAGAAAACCATGTTCTATCCATACTTCTCCTATCCATACTTGTTCTTGATTGGCCATTTTCTCCTGAAAGCTTTGATTTGGCCCAGCCTGGAGTCGGTGCCACTGCTGTCGCAAGGTGTGCCTCTTCTCCGGCGACAACTCTTTGACCTCGGAGAGACCGGTGGATAGGAATGGCTTCCAACCTAAGAGCGATGGCCTCCAACCTAAGAGCGATGGCCTTTTAAGCTGAACTACCTCTGTTGGCATGTTGTGTGGCACAGTCATGGAAGTGCCTAGTGAAGACTCGGTGAGAAGGGTCCGAAATGGCAAAAGAAACCCGATACGGCACCAAACAAATGCGATCGCCCACGCAATTCTGCCACGTGCGTACCGGCTGGTGACATAGGCCAATCATTGCAAATCACTGCATGGGATGGGTGCAGTCCAAAACACAAATGACCTTCCCATGTGTTCGGTATCCCTTGGTCACTCGACCTCTGCTAGGTTTTTTTAGCCCTCAGGCTGAGCAATGTTTACATATCATACAATAGTATAGTAATATTACCAAAAATGGTGGACGCCCCCTTCCTTTTCATCCGACATACTTTCTCCAAGATCTCCAAGGCTCGCGGTCCCCAACCTTTCCCTAAGACCCCAGGCCATTTGGTCGATCCACTCTGCTTCAGCTTGTCGCACCCAAGCCTGAAGCATGCCAGAGCTGCCAGAGCTGTCTACTTGGAGGTGGGAGAAGACACGGCAACATGACATGGACCACACAGGAACGCTGGCTTTTCCGGATCCCACCACAGGATCTGAATTGAACCAAAACGAGGATGTGGACCTACCGGACTTGGTTGGTCTTGTTGGACTCACACCAGCTCCAACCTCGGTGGTCTTCACAGCTCTGGCCGTCTCCTGGCTGTTCAAACGGAGTGATCCCGATGATCGGGCCAAAAAAACGCAGATCGGCCCGGCTGGCTTCTTCTTGCTGGAAGCACTTCCAAGCTGTTTGGATGCCCTTGTCTCAAATCAACCAACATGCTTCCAAGTGGCGTCAACACAATATTTGCAGTTAAACTGAAAAAGGTCTCATATCCCCACTAGTAATAAGGGCATCGCTACTAGTAACAAGGTGCAGCCTAAGGTGCATTACTACCAGATACTAACTGTAATAAGACGCTACTAGTATAGCAATGCATTCCTCATCTCTCCTCCATTTCCCCTCCACTCAGATGAGCTCCTCGGCAAAGAGTTGCTTCAGATCATCTTCGCTATTCACTTCGCGGACTGGCGCCGCCTTGGTGGTGTTTCTGTTTTTTCTCTGCTTGGGAGTCAATGAAACTAACATGGCATGGCCATAGCAAACCGGAAGACACGCAGTGCCCAGACTGGGTACCGGAAGACATCCCAGGACGCTTCAGCCGGAGGGCGACTTCCAGCGACGCACGCTCGGTCACCCCACCGGTGTGTGTCTCCACTGCACTGTGAGGTCTCCTGCGGACAGAGGAGACCAAGGACAGACCCAGCTCCACAGGCTCCACATTGGTGGACTTGCTGCGTAAGACCCGCAATTCGTTGCCGCAACGGACCCTGAAGATACCCTGGCTTGAAGGGCTAAGACAATCATTTTAACATCGAACTCGAATTTCTGCTGAATTGCACCCATTTCAGGTGATGATTCTGATGGATTGTTGGATCAGCGGGTGGTGATTATCCAATGGATGCTATATTGGAGAGTTTGTTGAACTATTACTTATCTCTAATCACATGTTTTTTTAAATCGTAGTATTTGCTGGAGCCTCTCAAGCACTCTTGTCTCCCATCCTGCCTTCCTTTCCAGTTCGCCTCATCCATCAAAAAAACAATGAAAACCCTTAGACATCCCTTGAAATGAGTTGAACCCCAAGGGAACCAGCTCCCACAAAGCAATACAAACACTGCATGATAAAATCCACTTTGGCTTTGACGAACTTCAAGCCCAACAAGCCTTTTGCTTCTTGAAAAACAACGTACACAAGTCGCATCAACTTCTTGTTAAACGTGCCGTGACACCAAGGGCTTCCAAGGAGCAAGCGAACCACAGGCTGAAGATGCTTCTGCTCAGCAGGGACCTCCTTAGCCTCGTCGAGCTTGGCCTGACGGCTGCAGCAGGCTCTGTTGGCAAAGTATTGACACAAAAAGGCGTTGTGAACACCAAGAAGAGTGGCATCTTTGTCTTACCTGCGCGGTCGAGTGCCTGGCATTTAATACATCGCAAAGAGCATCTGCAGATGTGATCGGTTTCTGGACTCGGCTGTTCAGGGCCTTCTTTTTGGTCTCCTCCACTGTGTCGTGTGGCCGCTTGCTCATGGCGTGGGGAGCTCAATCACTCGCACCGAAAAGGACACTTTCACCATAGTGAAAAGTAATTGAAAAGGACACCACCTTATCCTCCTTGTTCCTCTGAAGTGACACTACTAGAAAAGTCCATCGGATTGAATGATGCCCATTCTTGATTGAATGATGCCCATCGGGTATGCATGGCTCGAGCCCAAGCGATGGGACGGAGTCATGGCTCGACCAACTTCGAAGTGCACAGCACACAGATGATTCCCGACGGAGCCCTTGGCGCACAAGTCTCCCACGCACCACGATCGCCTCAAGCAGTCCGCCCGGCACCGCAGCCAGGTCATTTCGGAGAGGTGACGTATCTCAAACTCCTTCGAGTTTGGTGAGGGAACATCAATTGCACTGTGAAGCCTACACCTCTAGTCACCTAGACCTAGTCCAAGTTTTTCTGGGAGCTTTCGACACCTTCAGCCATCGACATCCGTTTCCTCCAACAGGCTGGTCCACTTCACAGGGCTGACGGGCTCTGTGGAAACACGCACATCAAAGCGAAGTTCCAGGTGGTCTCCCATGTTCGAATGAACATGAGTCCAAATGAGTCCTGCAGTTTGTGTCAAAACTGGTCTAATTTCCAATGTCAATGTTCCACAACCAGAGATTGTGATTCTTATCAATAAGTAACCATAAACACATTTCTCCACAATGTCTGGCATTTTGTTGGAAACTCAACAGCGGACAAACTGCATGGGTCTTTATTCACTTCAACTGAATTCGGCTTAGCAACCCCCTGAAGAAACCACCTGACTCGGGTCTCAGTGTCTCAGTGTCAAGCGGCACCGGACTCGGGCATCGCATCCATCGCGTCACCTCGCAGTGCATCACTTGTGAAGGACACGGACGGATATGGAAACTGGATGAAGCACGCGCCATGGCGCGATGAGGGCTCCATGAGGGCTCAATGCTTGGGATTTGTAGCAAAACAAGCATCATCTAAAGAATTAACTACTTAACATCTAAGCTCTTCTTCCATAGCTTTCACTACCAAAAGTCTAAGCCACGCACTGGACACTGCGCTCGAAGAGCTGGAGGGCTGCGCCGCGTCGTCGGCTTCGCCGGCTGCGTCGCCTTCGCCGGAGAGACGCTGAGGGGAGGAGAGGACAAGACGACCTGCCGACGGCGATGTCCTCCAAGCGATGGCCTCCGATGGCCTCCAACGGACTAGCGATGGCCTTCGATCGGAGAGATCTGCGACTCCGGGCACCAAGTTCGAAATGCTCACGGACCATGAGAATGAGAATGTCGGACGTCGGCAAAGAAACGAAGCTGCGATTTACTTCAGAAAACCACTGAAGTTGATCTGATAGCAGTGCAATTGTGCCAGAAAATAAAACACACGGAACTGCATAGTCTAGTGATTACTTTGGGAATTTGTTCACTCACAGTTTCAACCTGGAAACTCATGCGGTGTGGCCTTCTCCCTCATCCTGGTTGCTTGACCTCGACTCCGACTGAGCACCTGCCGACTGAGCACCAGGTGCAGCGGGGGGAGCTTCCTTCGAAGCCTGAGCTATCCTGCGTCCGGTTACCAGAAGCTTACTTCTCCCTTACTTGATTGTTTAATTCATATGTAGGAGAGGGCAACAAATACCAATTGCCGAAGGAAATCTTGCTCACAAGGCTTGAACAGCCTTCGACAAGGAGGAATTCCAAATTCCTGCAGTCTTTGAGGGGATTGGAACCGTCACTTGTTGAAAAGCTTAAGCAGGTTGATATCTAGCCCAAACTATATAAGAAGTCACGCGACGTGCATGGGACTCCCAAATAGGCACATTGAGGGTAGTGAACATTCTGCCAGGTTCTAAACATTGCAGGTGGACTTGATCCCCGATTGCACCTGATGGGGAGCGACGTACATCACTTGACGCGGCCAGCCTGAGCTCTTGCGCTCCAAAGAAAAGAGCTCATCCAAGGGTGCAACGGTCAGAAATTCCTCAGAGAACGGGATCATCTTGAAACATGCAGTCCAGTGAACTGTCTTCTCTCTTTCAAGCAAGCATCACGCATTCATCTCAAGTATTTGCTTCATGCGCCTCTGTAGAATCAAAATTATAGCCAAACTCCCCAAACAATTGAACTTCACACCATCCCTCAGAAGTTTGATACAGTTTGTAAGTAGTACTGCTGCAAAAGGTTCTGTCAATGGCCATGTTTATAGGTGTTTGTGAAAGCCGGATATGACGGCGCATAATATATCATCGCAATGCTCCATGCCACTCAGGGATTCTTACGCCACTAAAGACATTGAGAAGCATCAAGTCGATTCACTGACACCCACCGTCACCCATGTGGGGATGGATCAAAACCTGGATCCTCAACACCATGTAGCTTGACCTTCCGGGCAGGTCAACCAAGGTATCCAGGTTACCGTGAGTGTGATCTGAACTGCACGTTGACGACATCTGATAATTATATAATTCTTTGATATTCTTTGATACTGTAGTGATTAGGCTCATCGCGGTTCACCCCCTTCACACCCGATACATCCCGATACCATAGTTATAGTGTATTAAGCGGTGTGTGAGGAGCGTTCAAATATCGTCCGCAAGTCGTGTTACCAAGGTGTCCGACCTGGAAGGAAAGTTGAGGTTTCCTAAAAATCTAGGAACCAAATCATGAGCGAATTATCCTGCTGCTTACTCCCTTACTGAAAGCGGCGTCTACTTAATTACAGTAAGTAGGAGCGGGCAAAACACGTTTTGAACCGCAGCAATTCGTCACACCCGATGGGTCGCAACGACTGAGAAGCCTCGCGGCCCAGTTCCCGAAGCGCTTCAGAACGGACTCCTGGCGGACGAGAGAAGGACGGACAGGAAACTTGTTACTACTAGCGATGCACTTGTAATTACTAGCTTCTTGTTACTACTAGTAAGGCACCTGTTACTACTAGCTT